TTTGTGTTGTCTTCATACAACTCAAAGTTACAAAGTAATAATCTGTATAAAATAAAATATTTAGCAAAATACTATAGGCATGGTTATAAAAAAATCTACAGCCAACCTCTTGTTCCTTAGAATATGACTGTGTTTGGAAAACAGCTCTAAGAAGAGATGATTAAGCTAAAATGAGGGAGTTTCAGTGGAAGTAAATCCAATAAGATGAGAACCCTTAGAAGAAGTGGAAATTCCTTATAAAAACTGGAAATTTGCACACAGAGAGACACAGGAAGTACATAGGCACAGACGCAGTCACATGGGAGGACCCAGCAAGAAGGCAGATATCTAGATGCTGAAGAGACAGGGCCCAGAAGAATTGAATGTGCTCACACCTTCCTTGTGGAACTTGAGCATCCAGAAGTGTTGAAAAGTAATTTCTGTTGGTTAAGAGTATTAGTATGTGATATTTTGTTTGGAGAGATATAATGAAGAAATTCAGGGGGAGCAGGTTTTAGGAGGTAGAAATCAAGAGTCCTGCTTGGCCCATGGTAAGTTTACATTATTTTAAATGGCAAGTGGATTGCTGCGGTCCTTGACTCATGGATAAGTGCCTAAGCTCTTGTTGCAGTCCTGCTCCTTGCTTTGACCTCACCCTAAGTGACACTCTCTCCTTCAGTTCTTTGTTAACCTCTGTTTTGGTTGTCTCTGGTAGCTTGATACCTGATATTTACTCCTTCCTGATATGCTAATGTCTTTCATGCATTTCTGACATAGGAGAAGGTCAAGGAGTGACCGGAGTGATATTTGGAAGCATCATCTCTTGTCTTGCTGTACTGAGCAGATGAGGAGAAGCCTGTCTCCAAGCAGGACTGCAGCTTCCCCAGTGACTCACACAAGGAGTCACATCTACCTGCCACTCCCCTCTGCTTCTACTCTCTTGGGTTTCTTCCCTACCTGATGGGCCACCATAAGCTACATAGGCCAGACTGCTCATCACCAGCTTGTCTTTCCAAATAATGTTTGGTGAAACCAGAGAAAATCATTCAGTAACATCAGGACACCCAGGTTGGCCCAAGCACTCTGTGTCTCTCTTGAAGCATGTGAATGTCAGTTACAAATGTTACACTTTCCATGTAGCTAGAGAATATTTGGCCACTGGTATTACATCCCGTCTTCAGAAAATATTCCTATGTATGCTAGGAGAAAAACAAGAAATCAATCTGCCTAGTCAGTTGGAAAAGTCTAAGTTGACTGTGGTAGAGCTTATTGTATTAGAATGCCTTCCTATATGCAGTGTGGGTTGTTAAAATGTTGATGGAAAATGTATATTCTATTAAGAAACACCATGAATAGATTCCAAACTTTTTGGTGGCAAAATGAAATCAGAATGTTTTGCTATAACATGTCTGAACAGGAGCTAGTTTGAGGCATCAAGAGAAATAAGAGAGCAGTTTCAAAAAAGCCCCTAGATGAGCAACATGAATTCTTATAATATTAAAGTGAATGCAAACATCAAGTTTACGGTGAAGCTTGGGTGGAAGAAGGTAAACACATTGATGGTGTCCAAAAAGTTGTCCTTCTTGGGATGTGTTAAGTTGACACTGGTTGAAGAAGTCAGCAGTTCACAAATTCAATGAGGAGCTCCTCGTTTCAAGTAGGAATGAGGCAATGTTGAACCTAAAGCCCACAGTGACAGATGATTCCCATCATATTGCAAGGTATGCATTCATCTTCTTTATACCCAGGAGAAGAGGTGTGATGATTAGCAGCACACACAATAGCCAACACTGCAGACTTCTCAGTTGGTTCAGTTTGCATGATTCTAACTGAATGATTAAATTTTAGTAAACTTTTCACTGAATGGATGCCCAAGCTGTGTCACCAAGATCAAGTACAGACAAGAGCAGAACTTTCCCTAAAAATGTAAATACGAGGAATGAAGATTGTAACCCTTCCTTCAATGAGTTATAACTGGAGCTATCACGTGAGTTTGCCAGTAAAACCCAGAAAACAAACACAATGAAAGCAACGGCCAAGAAGACGTGGAAAAGTCCAGGCAAAACCAAAGTGGATGAGGAGAGCACAAAGGTCATGGCCAGATTTTATTGGAAAGCTGAAGTCATTTTGCTGGTTGACTTTCTGGAGAATGACAATATCTGCTTATCGTGAGAATATTTTGAGAAAACCAAAGTTTTAGTAGACGAATCACAGGGAAAGATTCAGCAGGATCCTTCCCCACGACCTTGCTCTGGCTCATTTCTCTTATCAAACAGGGCAATCATATGAGAGTTCTGATGGAAAATCATTAGGCTTCCACATTACTGAGAGGTGAAGCCAGCTGGACTTCCTGGGTTGAGTGGAGACTTGGATAGCTTTTCTGTCTAGGTAGAGGATTGTAAATGCACCAATTAGTGCTCTGTGTCTAGATAAAGGATTGTACATGGACTAGTCAGTGCTCTGTAAAAACGCAGCAATCAGCACTCTGTGTCTATCTACAGGATTGCAAACGCACCAATCAGCGCTCTGTAAAATGGACCAATTAGAAGGATGTGGGTGGGGCAAAGTAAGGGAATAAAAGTTGGCCACCAAGCAGCGGGCAACCCACTTGGGTCCCCTTCTATGCGATGGAAGCTTTGTTCTTTGGCTCCTCACGATAAATATTGCTGCTGCTCAGTGTTTGTATCTGCATTACTTTTATGATATGTAATCTCACCGAGAGGGTCTGCAGCTTCATTCCTGAAGTCAGCGAGACCATGATCCCACTGGGAGGAGGAGATAGATAGATAACAGGAGGTTCCCTAGATAAGAGGAGGTAAATAGTTAAATATCTCCCAAAGCTGATCTTTGGGGAAAGTAAGGAAGAGACTGCAAGTCTGTTGAATCCATAGATGATGGAGACGCGTTTGAAAGGAGGTAGACCCTGGGGCTAGAAGCCAAGGTGGGGGGAAAAAAGCTTTTCAGTTGCAGTAGTCATTTATTATTATTGTTGTTATTATTAGTATTATTATTTCTTTTTAGAGACAGGGACTTATTCTCTCACTTAAGCTAGAGTGCATTGGTGCAATCATGGCTCACTGCAGTCTTGAACTCCTGGGATCAAGCAATTCTTCTGGAGCACGCTCTGAATTAGATGGGACTACAGGTGCCAATCACTATGCAAGGCTGGTTTTGTAAATTTTGTTGTATACATGGGGAGGTCTCACTATACTGTTCAGGGTGATCTTCAATTCCTGATGTCAACAATCCTCCAACCTCAGCCTCTAAAAGTAGTGGGATTACAGTCCTCAGCCAGTATGCTGGGTGTATAGTCACTCTTTCTACCTCAGCCTCATTTTCCTACATTCTGTAAATCCCCAGTCAGAAGACAGCAAGGCTGCCTGGCTACTAGGATACCCTCTGAGAAGCAAATGTAAAACTTTGCAGTTCCTGTAGAGGAAAAGAAAAAAGAAGCACTTGAGTTCAATTGAGCTATGAGCAAATGGGATACAAAAGATGAAAAGTTAGGAAGGCGTTGTGGATAAGGCCCTTGGGACACATTCAGTGCACTTTTCTGTTGTTTTTAATTTTATAAGTGTGTATTATGTGAAATAGTTATACTTTTATCTCATAAGAGCCAAGGAGAATCATCCACATAGAAGCTCCAAGTAGAATAATGTCAGTGGGACTAAACCTTCTGCCAGTGGTGCCAGTGGGTGGATCATGATGTAGCCTGAGTGCCTCTGATCTTCAATGTCCAAAGCTTGCCTTATTGAACTTTTTGTGTATTGTAAACAGAGAAACCGCCTATGTGAGGCATAAAATAGAAAATTACTCAATATACTTTTAAAAACCATAAACAATTGACCAACTCTTAATGAAGGGTATAATCAAGACATGAAAACCTTGAAACAACTTAGTTATGGAAATGATGAGACTTTAAAGCAGCTGTTATAGCCATCCTTTGTGAGGTAAGTGTGAACACTCTCAAAATAAATGGGAAAAAACTTTCCAGCAGATAAAGGAACTATAGAAAATAATAAAATAGAAATTTCAGAACTGACATATATAATGTCTAAAATTTGAAAAATACCTTACAGACTGTGAAAATTTTTCAGAAAGTAAATGATTGCAGTATGTGAAGACAAGAAAACTAAATTAGCCAAGGCAAATCCAAGAAGAGACATCTTATAAGAACTTAACCTGTTAACACCTTCATCATGGACTGTGAGCCTCCAAAACTGTGAGAAAATCAATTTCTCTTGTGCAACTTACACAGTGTATGGTATTTTTTTAGGGCAGACCTAACAATAACAAACTACATCGAGGGGAGCAGTTTAGGATGCAGAAATCAAGAACCTTGTTTGGCACATGTTATGTCTGCACCCACATTAGAAGGCAAATGGACTGTTGAGCGCTTCAACTGACCAAAAGATGCCTGAGCTCCTGCTGCAGACCTGCTCTGCGCTTTGACCCACCCCCACTCACTGACAGGGCCTCTTTCCACTCTTCTGTCACCTCTGTTTTGTTTGTGTGTTGAGAGTTCATAGCTAATATTTATTCTTCCCTAATACACGAATCTCTTTCACTGACTGCTGACATTGGACAACATCAGAGGAAGGGCCTGAGCTGAGTGATATTTGACGGCAATGTCTGCTGTCTTCCTGTACTCACCAAGCCAATGGGGAGTCTTTCTTTCACCAGGACTACCACTTCTACAGCAACCTATGCAATGAGGCAAGTCTGCGAGGCACTCCCATTTGCTCCTTCCCTCTGATCTTCCTTTCCTACTTGAAGGTCTACCATAAGTCACTAGGCAGAACCATTCATCTCCAGTTTCCCTGTCCAATGAGTGTGTGTAGAAACCAATGACAGTCATCCCAATATCATAAGGGTACCTGCTAGGCCAAGCAATACCTTATGGCCCCCATGAGGCACATAAAGCCACACTACAACTGTTTCAATATTGCATAGCCAAAGAAGAATCGCTAACTGGTAATATATTTCCTCTTTAGCAAACATCCCTAGCATTGCAGAAGGGGTGAGGGAGGGAAGCAGCAATCTCCCTGATCACCGGCCAATGGCAGAGTAATCTGCAAACCTCATTGTATAAGGAAGTCTTCCAATAATATACGGCATCTTCAAATTGTTTGTGGAAAATACATATTTTTAAATTATGCATGAATATAAACTTTAAAAAAAATACATTTGTACTAACTTGTTACATGTCTGAACAGGATCTAGTTCAGTCACTAACAGGGTTGAGAAAGCAGTTTGAAAACAGCCTCTATCAGAGCAGCAAAAATTCTACTAATATTGTAGGAAGAACAAATATCAAGTTTAGGGTGAAGCTTGGGTGGAGGGATGGGGACATCATCTAATGGATGCATTAGGAGATATTTGTGTGCAAGTAAATCAGCCATTCAATAACGGATAACTCACTTTAAGAATTGATGAGATGTTGGTGAAGGTAAACCTTGCAGCAGCAGACCGTACACATCAATTTATGGGCATAAATTTTATCTTCTTTTGGCCTAATTGAAGAGGCCTGACAATTTACAACAGAAACAAGAGCCAGCACAAGAAGAAACTCAATTGGTTCAGATTACATAATTTTTTCTGATTGAAAAATTAAACTTGAGCAAACTATCCACTTGATGAGGGCCAAAACTGCTGTACTTAAGTCAGCCAGAGACAAGAACAGAACGTTGAATGAAAAAGTAAACAAGTAGGAAGGAGAAGAGAAAAAAAGATCCTAAGCATGTCTATGAAGAGTTGTAACAGGAGATCAAACGTGGATTTACCAGTACCCCTCGAAGGAAAAAACACAATCAAAGCAATGGCTACCAAGAGGTGGATGTGGTATAGTCTAAGTAAATGTGACAAAAGCAAATATGCCAACAGTGTTTATGGATGCTCAAGGTATTTTGGTTGTTAACTTTTGGGAGGGCCCGAGAATGATAAAATCGACTTATGAAAGAGTTTGGAATTTATAGAAAGTTAGCCAAATCGTTAGCAGATAAAGGGATGAGATTGAATGCCTAGTGATTTCCATCAAAAGTCTGGCAAATTGCCCCTGTTTCATGAGAGGAATGAGTAGGAGCATTATTGTGATGGACAAGGAGTCTGCTAAAGCCTTTCTGGGCATTCATCTGCTAAAGTTTTGCCTAACTTTCTCCAACATCTCATAAGTCGATGTTTTCGTTCCAAGTGAAGTAACTTAGGATTGGTAAACCAAACACCGTAGTTCTGACTCATGAATAGGAGCTAAACTATGAGGATGCAAAGGAAAAGAAAAACACAGTGGATTTTGGGAACTCAGGGGGAAATGGTTGGAAAGAGGTGAGGGGTAAAAGACTACAAATTGGGTGCAGTGTATATTGCCCTGATGATGGTTGCACCAAAATCTCACAAATCACCACTAAAGAACTTACACACGTAATGAAACACCACCTGTCATGATCATATTTTAAAACAATTTCAAAGATGATAAATACGCATACATGTGAACTTCAAAATCAATGAAATATAAGAATAATTTTTGGTCTTAAGCAGAAGAGACAACATCTTTTGTAAGAGATAGGTCACTGAGTCATTGATTAATTACTTTAATGACATTCCTCTTTTAAATGTATCAGCTTACCGTCTTGGTACATGATCATAAAAATATGATGGTGACATACATTGCTTTGTACTTCTTATGAGATAAATTGTGATTGTACTTCTCTATGAACTGATGGGAAGGGTAACTGAAAGGTGAAGAATATAGTCTGACATTGTGAGCTGAGGCTACAGACACTTGACCTTAGGCTGATGACCAATGCCTTCTACGGCCGCAGTCACTGAGGGTGGAACACCAGCTCTGGGGGCAGGAACAAAGGCGCCATCTTCATGCAGAAGACTGAAAGCTGTGAAAGTGGTGGAAAATTTATCCTTTCTTAGACAATTATCTGACCAGGTTCCCTCTTGGATTCCTAGAATTTTAGATCCACTGTGATTAGAGGGATCAAATTTAGTCAATTTAAAAGGGCATACACAAAATTTGTCAATGCTAATATGTCACCCAAGAAAAATGCATGTAGCGTGGATTAAGGAAGTACATACAGGATCTACATTGACAGGGTTTTGTAATTAGAAAAAAAAGGAATTAATTCCTGAGCGTCTTTATATAAATCCAAGGGGTAAAGCAGAATATTAGAATACGTTTGTATGTGATTATGATATCAAACAAACATGTTTACCCAGGAAAATATATTTTTTTCTCACCTCAGCTGTTAAAGTCTCAGGAAAATTTAACCTTGAAAACATTCTAAGAGAAACTTGTTTTTGTTCTCTGAATCTCATTTCCTTTCACTTTCTTGTGAAGAAATGAATGAATGAAGAGCAAGTAACCAGTGGAGCACAGTAGGCAAGAACTCAGTTCTGAGAACTGACTGCCTTCCATTGCACTTAATACCTTTATATGAACCTAGGCACGCACCTAAGTCACCTCATCTACAAATAAAGATAATAACAATAATCACACCTCCCTAATATGATAGTACTGAAGATTGAATATCATATAGTAAATGCTGAAGAAATGTTTTCTATTATAATCAGCCTATGCTAGGATAAATGGAAAGAATACAAATACGCTCAAATAATTGTGAAATATATATATTAGAGAGCATCAACATGAAATAAAAATATAAAGATGACCATCCTACTAGTGTAACCAAAGTTTTTAGAAAAGTCAAAGGAATGCTGAATTCTCACACACAACTGTATTATCAGGATGGTTGGTTTACACAATGAACAGAGAAATTTGAGGAAGATTCTGCTTTCTGTTCCATCAGAGAGCTTCAGTAAGAGGGAGATGTGTGGTGTGAGAGAGCTGAGGCATGAAATTTGGATCTTATTACAAGTACAGAAGAAAATCCTAAGAACATTTGATGCACAGAAGTGTTATGATCTAATTCCTACTTTTCAATGATCACCCTGACTGATGTGAGGGGAAGAGATATGGGATGTCCTAGTGTAGGAATGTTACCAAGAGCAGCTGAGGATATTAAAGTCCTTCAGGGGAGAGCATCATGGCCTGAACTATGACCTTGTAGTAAAGATTGTGCAAGTTGTTCTATTTGGGATGAGTGTCGAAAGTGGAGTCAACTCGATTTGCTATAGGGCGGTGCTTGAAAGGAGTGAGGATTTTTGAACCACTGAACACTTGACTTAGAACAGGATGGGAGCTGTTATGAGAGCTGAATTGTGTTTCCTAAAATTTCATATGTTGACGACTGTTCCTTCAGGACCTCAGAATATGGACATGGATATTAGAAGGCAAGTGGAGTGCTGAGGGCTGCCACTCACCTCTAGGTGCCCAAGCTCCTGCAGCAGTCCTGCTTCTGTCTTTCACCCACCCTCACTCACAGACAGTGTCCCTTTCTGCATTTCCATCACTTCCCTTTTTGTTTTGTCAGTTGAGTGCATAGCTGGTATTTATGGTTTCCTGATAAACTTTACTCATTGCTGACATTGGAGAAGGTCAGGGAAAGGGCCTGAAATGAGTCACCTTTAGGGGCATTTCTGTTCTCTTCCTGTACTCTCCTGCCAAGGACCAGTCGGTCTTGCCTCAGGCCTGCAGCAACCTCAGTTGGTGACTTAATCAGGCAATGTCAGCCTGGCCTCTTTGTTGCTCCTTGTCTCTGACATTCCTTTGTTACCTGATAGTCTAACTTAAGCCACCTAGGCAGGATTGCTCATCTCCAGTTCCTATGGAAAACAGTGTCTGGTGAGACCAGAGACACAAATCTCCATAATACAGTGGGATTTCCTGGGACCAAGCAACTACTCTCTGCCTAAGAGAAAACTCATGAGGCTCAGCTAGAATCAATCCATTTTCCATAGAGCCAGAAATAATTGCCAATTAGTAATGTATTTGCCCTTCCAGTACATCTACGTCTATATTTATGCCAGGGAAAATACCAATCTGCCTGGTCCCCTTGCTAGGGCAATGTTATCCGTAGCAAAGCCTTTTGTATGAGGAAGTCTCCCTGTGCTATGACCCACAACTGTTGAGAAGGGCCAACCAAATTCTCATATAGAAAGCCCAGGATAAACTCATCCAGAATGGTCAAGAGGCCTGTCTTTAGGATTTACTATTGCTCACACTGTCTATCCCCATCATACCTCCAACAAAGCTGTCCTCAAATTAACACCAGCCGTGTAAAAAATGTGAACAATTACACAAGAAGACACACAGAAGGTTTAAGTGGAAAATGGCAGCTGTTGATACTGACTAACCTGTCTATTCCATGAATTGATGAGCAGGGATTTACCAGATGGAAGAATCAGCAGCTAAAAGAAGGTTAGCAATGTAGGACTCTGATAGGGCTTTTTGGAAAAACAACATTTATTGTGAAACTACACAGAGAAGAATGAAAAAAGGCGGTGAGGAGTACTATATCCTATTACATAGAAGATTAAAGAAAGGAAATCTCACCAAATTCATGGGAAAAAGTCAGATATATAATAAAAATACACATAATGGTCTTGACTCAGAAAACAAATTAGGAATAAAGAAGTACTAGAAAGAACTTGCAGAGGAATGCATATCAGAATATTGTAGAAAAAATACTCTTTGTGGAAGAACAATCTGAGAAAACGAATACAATGCAATTGAGGCTTTGAGGGTGGTATCTGATTATCTTATTTCAATGTATATTTGTGGCCACTTAATTATCAGTGGTAGGAACTTGATACAAAACCCAAAAGAAATGAAGTACAGAGTGCATTTTAGAGAATATTCCAGAGAAAGGGAAGAATATGAAGGATGTTTTAGTGACATGAGATCGCATGACTCCCTCACAGAACTATGTATCCAGTTTTCTCAGGTCTAGAAATTTCCTGGTGGTTTCTGTGTCCATTTGCCTTAACAACCTCTAATAATAGTTTAAAATACAAAATTTTAGCCTTCCTGTGTTGTACAGCGCTAAGCTGTCCCTGAGCTGAGTGAGATCCACAGAAGCTTGAAGAATATCTGTAGCCTGAGGAGGCTGTGGGGCAGCTTTCTGTCATCTATGTGTGCCCAGGAGTGTGCTGTTTTCTCACATCTCACAGAGAGCAGAAACCATCACTATCGTACCAAAAATTTAGCTAAATATGAAAATATCTGTCCAGACACATCACAAGAAATGGAAATAGGGCATAAATAGATCCAGAGATATTGACCATCCTCACTGCTGGCTGTAGCGTTACTGCTTACACACACATAAACAGAAATAAATAGCACAGTGGAAAGCGGATGATAGTCTTACCTAAAGATTGAAACTCTAATGATATCTAAAGTTCAATTATGACACAGTGCTGATGGCTTGGGCACAGTTCCTTCAAAACCATTGTTCAAGTCACAGTTGTACCTTTTAGAAATAAGACACTAACAACATATCCAACCCAACCCATCCCTCTGGGTTAGAGTATCAGAGAAAAATAAGGGATACACCTGACCTGCAGTGAGCAAAGCACAGCCCAGTCTCTGAGGTGGTGAGGCCCCCGCAGTGTGGAGCTGAAAGGTGTCATTGTTTTGCTTCTCTTCATAAAGGGAGCAGCCCCGTTCCTCCCAGCACAGTGTTGGGAGCAACTCCAGAGTCTCCTGCAAGATGCTGTTGATTCTGCTGTCAGTGGCCCTGCTGGCCCTGAGCTCAGCTCAGAACTTACATGAAGGTAAAACAGAAGGGGAAGAAGAGGTAGTGACTCTGTGTGGGGCTTAGGAGGGGATAATGGTAATTAGGGGGAAGAGAAGAGAATGAAAACCCAGATGGGGCTGCAAAGTTTTCATGCCTGGGATCAGGAGACCGATTGCACCCTCATTCCACACTAAGGGTTTCTAATTTATTTAACGTACAATGAAATCCAATAAAGAATTTGTTCCAGGGGAATGAGAAGGTAAGATTTACATTTATAGAGAGATATGATTGTGCTGTGAAGAATGCAGTGGAAAATGCTAGGTAGATTCAGGCAAGTCCAGCTGTGAACAACCTATACTGATCTCAGTAAGTACAGAGGGATGATGGTGTCCTTGCTGTGCAGTGAATCAGCATCGATGATGGAGATAAATACACATCAGAGACACTGAAGAGACAGAGAATTGGATGGAACACTTGTTTCTGTCTCACTAGAGATACAGAAATATCAGAGCCAATCATTGTCATTTTTCTCTCCCCTACATGAGGTATTTCAATGTGCTGGGAGTGGTATGGGTAAGATTGTATTGCAATGATTACTTCTGTTTATGCCAATTGAGAAAGCATGCATACAGAAGCAATGTATTTCTAGTAGGTGGAGGGCATAAGAATACCAAACTATCACATTGAAGTCCCTGGCATGTGTAAACTAAATTAGCATTAAGTCCTGAGGATGCTAGGGAGGGAAAAAAGTGGCTCTTCTATGTTGAGTTCGGCTGCTGCTCTGTCCTAAGAACCCTGCCTCCTCTTACACCTTCCTTCCTTTCAGCAGCTTCACAGACAGTGGCTGACGAGTTAACTTAGGAGATGCATGGGGTGGTGAGAAGACCCTTTTCCCTGTAGAACACTTGTGAGTCTTGAAAGATTCCAGATGTAACTTTTCCTATCGTCCTGTGCTTCTCTTTTAGATGTCAGCCAGGATGAATCTCCCTCCCTAATATCAGGTAAATCCCAATTCGTTCTCAATCTGTTTTGACTGTCTTTTTCTGCAGATGAATGGATCAGCTCTCCAGTGTCTTCTTATCAACATTAACCTTTCAGGAACTGATGAATATTAGTGCCCTAATAATACAGGCAATCTTCCTGCAACCCTGATTCTGGGGACCATGAGCTGGCCACAAAATTGAATGGCAGAGATACTTTGGTTAGATGTCAGTAGGAGTGGGTTGTCTCATTCCCCGACCAGGAGTGGCTGCTGGGAGATGACAGACAAATGCACAACATCGTCAGTCTGACTCCTCTTTATACGGAGAGACTCCCAACTGCTTTGTTCTTCCCTGGCGTTCTATTCCAGAGTTCTATGTCTTCACTGAAAATGCAAAGAAATTAGTGTCTTGGTCCCATTTTTTTGCGTTTCCCCCTCAGCTTTTTACCCTAGCTGATCAAAATTTACTGCAACTTTTCAGTGAATCTTGTGTGGGCTTTTACTCTGTCTTTCTCTTCTCTCTTTCTCCTCCAGAACATCAACAAGGACAACCCCAACAAGGAGGCAAGAAGCCCCAAGGTCCCCAGTCTCCTCCAGGGAATGCACAAGGACCACCCCAACAAGGAGGCAATGCCCAGCAGGCTCAGCCACCTCCTGCTGGAAAGCCCCAGGGACCACCACCCCCTCCTCAAGGGGGCAGACCCGCCGGACCTCCCCAGGGACAGTCTCCCCAGTAATCTAGGATCCAATGACAGGTATGATTCCAGTTGATTCTTCACCAAATGCTCTAATTGCTACAGGTCTCCAGCTTTACTGTGCCAGAGATACAACTAAAAGCCCATTGATATCGTTTTGTCATAGAAATCATTTCTAAAGATTTGTGTTCAGATATTCTGGAAATGGGTAACAAGGCCCTATATATGTACAAGCTCTTGAAGGAATTCTGATGTTGAGAAGCAATATTTCTAATAATCTGTTTTAAATTGTATTGGCAATGAGGAAGTAGTACCATGTTCCCTCTGGCACTCTGTTTTCTGTCCACAAACTCAGAGACCTCCCATGTAAAGTTTTCACCTGAGCACTGTTTGCTCCATCCTGCCTCACTCCAGTCTCTCTAGTCCAGTACTCGTGCCAAGTGGTCCCTGCAGTTTCAGCAGCTAAATGGTGTCTCATTTTTTAAATTCTTACTTTTCAATAAGTATGTGATTAAGCTTGCAACAAATATCTAATGGAATGGAAACATATGAAGCTATATTTAAAGACATAACTCACCCTACCTGCCTTCCCTCCTTCAGAAAACTACCACTGTTAACTTTAGGGCATCTTCTCTTTAAAATAGATATGTGTACATTGACAATTATAATATTTTTCCCCCAGAACTAATACCATAATTATTATCCCGGTACATATGTTAGTCATTTAAAAAATACATTTCTTTCGATATTTCCACATGAGTTCATGAAGCTAAGTAGATCTCTTCAGTGGTTGTCTGTTTTTACAATTTTACGCTACTCCATTATGTGTCTGCACTGTGATTTCTTTATCCAATTCCTGTCACTGGGCACTGAGGGTGGTTTCAGATTCTCACTATTATAGAATATGTTCCAGTTACCATCCGTGTAAATATATACCTGAACAAACTCAGCAGCAAGTAAAAACAAGCTAGGAATGATCTCATCTCTTCATCACGTAAGGAACGATTTGGAGCACATTTTGTCTAAGGGAGGGGCATCAAAAGAGGGAGCACACAAAAACTTAGGAAGGAAACACAGGAGGTAGAAGGGATGGGGAGAGAGGGGATGGGCTCCATGTACTCTACTGCAGTAACTCCAGGGAGGAATTAGACATTTCCTGCCATGTCAAGTCTGGTCTATGAACTTCCTTGTCTGTTTGTTTCAGGAAGTGAAAAAGAAGATGACAGTGATTCAAATGATTCAAATGCTGTGACATTGGAAGAAGGTGGTCATAGCTCTAACTTCAATATACCAATAAAATAATCAGCTTGCAATTTCTGATTGTGGTGTCTGTTTCTCAATGTTTGTGAATGTGGGATCTGAGGACCAAGAGGACATTCTAAGAACATCCAGGAACCCTCCTCCTTGATGCTCCAGGAAGCTTCCCTCCTGCTTAATCCTAATTTAGCCAGCTGCCATGAAAAAAGGTTTTACTGTTTCTCTATTTCCCTGTTTTCTATTATTTTTACCCCACCCGAGATGGAGTTTTATTCACCCAGCCCGGAGTGCAGTGGCACAATCTTCGCCAAGTGCCCCTTGTATCTCCTGGCTTCAAGCTATTCTACTGCCTCAGCCTTCCAAGTATGTGAGGTTATAGGTTCCCAGCATCATGCATGGCTCATTTTTGTATTTTCAGTAGAAATGAGGTTTCGGCCTGTTAGCCAGGCTGGTCTCCATCTCCTGACCTCAGGGGATCCACTTGATTTGGCCTCTGAAACTGCTGGGATTACAGGTGTGAGCCACCTTGCCTGGCCCTTCCCTGACTTCTATAGCACAAATAGAAATTTTAAAATTATTTTCAGATTGTTTACTGATATTCCAGAAATCTTAAGGACAAAGAAACACAACAAATGCAAACAAGTCACAGAAGCTGAAAGAAATCCTTATAATTTCTAAGAAACTGAGTTCAGTTTCAAGGCAATGAATATGGTTCTATGTTTCTGAACCCCACAACCTTCTCTCCCATTTACCCTATTTTAACAGTGATCACTTCTCTCCCTTCCTATGTTTCTCAGCATTCTTTAATGAAACCTGAATGGATTTCATTAAAGAGGCAGCATGATTTAAAGGAGCAAAGAATTTGGACACTCTCAGATTTTAATGAAGACCTAACTCTTTTTCTTACTATCTCTTGACTCTTAAGAGGAAACTTAGAAGCTCTGGGCTTCAATATACTCATCTAAAATGAGAATAATCATGAAAACTCCCTTAGAGTACGGAGACTAATGAGATAACATACATACCAAAAACTTTGCAGATACTGGCATGTCTGCTTCTCAAGCAAGGAGGGTTGAATATAGAAACTGCCTCTGTGCTCACTGATAACCTCAGATAATTCACTAAAAAGTCAGAAAAATCAGAACTGAATGATCTCACCATAACCACCACTAAGTTGAGCAACCCACATTCAGTTGAAGTGAGATCTTTAGCTTCTTTCCTATTATCACAGGTGAAGTCTTCCTACTCCTGTCTCTTAACTTCCCACTTGATTCTGAACCACATTGCCCAATCAAGGATTTTGCTTCTGCCTGTGACCCTTTTGTCTCCTGATTCTTACATCTATGCTCTATGGGATTATTTCAATCAGCCATAGCCTGCTGAGACATCACCCATTTCTACAGAAGCCTTCCTAAGACTCTTAGTGCTTATGTCCTACCATATTATTTGTCTGCCATTTTTATTGCAAAAGTTCTTGAAACTTATGTATGTGATTATTTCCTCATACCCCACTTCTAATTTTTTCTAATGCACACATTATAGATGCTTTTGTTCTTTCCCCTTCCAGTCTGTGAAGGTCATGTATTGCCTACATTCCACTCATTTAGGAGTCAGTTCTCAGTTCTGCATCTCCTGTGACCCCTTGGCAGTTTAACACCATTGATCCTACCCTTCTTTTGGGAACACTCTGTCAATCTTTCCAGGAACCTCCCACTCTCTCCAGGGTTTCTCCTACCTCTGCTTCTTCCCTCCTACAGCTACAAAGTTCTTCCTCTTCCAAGTCTTTTTTGTCTTGATAAAGAATTCATCTAATTAATTAAGCAAACTAGGATTTTTTTCTTGACTTTTCTCTTTTTCTCTTTCATCACATTATATCTAGTCAAATAAGCTATGTTATGATTGTGAAGTTCAAGCTTCAAAATAATGTCGTACTGCAGCCTGTTTCATTACTTTCATCTTTATCAGCCTATCTAAGCAAGCCTCAACTGCAATTTACACCAAATAGTTCTATTTATTTCCCAAAAGTCAATTACTCACCTTGGCCGTTTAAAAATTATATTAGTTTTCTATGTTTTCCAGTTGATTGCTACCACTTTTACTCTGTAAGAACCAGATGCTATTTTTTTTTTTTTTTTTTGAGACAGAGTCTTGCTCTGTTTCCCAGGCTGGAGTGCAGTGGCAAGTTCTCAGCTCGCTGCAACCTCCGCCTCCTAGATGCAAGCGATTTTACTGCCTCAGCCTCCCGTGTAGCTGGGATTACAGGTGCGTGCCACCACACCCAGCTAATTTTCTGAATTTTAATAGAGTCAGAGTTTCACGAAGTTGGCCAGGTTTGTCTTAAACTCCTGACCTTGTCAACCGCCTGCCTCATACTCCGAAAGTGCTGGGATTACAGATGTGAGTCACTGTGCCCAGCTGCTAATTTTTACCTATGCTCATGTGCCATGTATTGCCCCCTAACTCTCTGTGGAATTGGGGGATGCTCTACACCTAATTCATTCTGCTATGGCCACACTGGTCATTGTCTTCTTTTTATAGCGGGGTACAGAAGCATTATGTTTAGATTTTCTATTTATTAAAATAAACATTTTTGCAGAAATACAAGTTTGATTTTGTTACTCAGATTACGTAGTGCTTAGGTCCCGGCATTACGGTACTCATCCGTCCAATAACAAACACTGCATTTATTCATACCTCACTATACAATTCCTCTGCCTCCCATACTCCCAAATATTCATTGTCTGTCATTTCACTCTCCCCATCCATGCAAACACATTCTTTAGCAACCACTTACCAGTGAGGACATGTTATATTTGATTTTCAATATCGAGCCTGTTTTGCTTAAGAAAACTACTCCCATTTCCATGCATATTGTCACAATACATGTGATTTCATTCTGTCTTTCTGACTGAGTAGTGTGGTATTGTATATATATAGTTGCAGTTTTAATCCAATCATTCATTGATGGATATATTGTTGACTCAATATCTTTTTTACTGTGAATGTTGCTACAGTAAACATACAGATAAAGGTATATATTTGATACATTGACTACTTTTCCTTTGAGGAGATATCCAGTAGTAGGATTGCTCAATGGAAATGTAGTTCTAGTTTTAGTTCTTTGAGAAATCATACTGTTTTCCATAGAAGGTGTATTGATTTACTTTCCCACCAAGGATGTATAAGAGTGCTCCTTTCTCCATATCCTCGCCAACAGCTGTTATTTTTCACCCTTTTATTCACAGTCATTCTGACTGAGGTAAGATGATATCTTACTGTGGTTTTCATTCACATTACTCTGATGATTAGTGATGTTGCACATGTTTTCATTTACTGTTGGCCATTTGTATGTCTTCTTTTGAAACACATCTATTCATGCCCTTTGTCTATCTTTAATTGATTTTTGTTGTTGTTGTTGAGTAGTTTGAGTTCCTTGCATACTCGGCAGATTAGTTCCCTGTAGGATGCATAGTTCACAAACACTTTCCCTCTGCAGGTTGTCTGTTGACACTGTTGATTTATTTTGTTTGTAGAATATTTTAGACAAATTAAGTGCCATTTTTCCAATTTGGTATTTGTTGCCTGTGGTTTTCAGGTGTGACCTTCACACTTAAATGATTACCTGAGTGGATATAGGATTCTAGTTTGATTGTTACTTTTACGTGGAGTTTTTAAACCCCTCTTCCACCACAGCAGCAAGGAACCATCTTGGAAGCAAAGAGAAGCCCTCACCAAACACTGAATCTGTTGATGCCCTAATCTTGGACTTCCTGGCCTACAGAACACTGGGGAAGAAATTTCTGTTCTTTAATCATGACCCAGTCTACAGTCTTGTTAGAGCAGTAGAAATGGACTAACACACAACCCCATCTGAGTTCTAATTAGTAAACATACATCTAAAAACCAAAACAAAATGAAACAACAGCAAAACAACAGGGTTGGACTGTCTTCTGACCTCTGTTTATCCATGTAGTTTCTGATTCTCCATATCTTCTCTATGACTGCTTTTCTAAAGTGGCATCTTCAAGATCTTTCTTATCCGTAAGATTTAATTAGGTATAAGTTGACGTAGGCCTTTTTCATCTATTGTGTTGGGCACTCTGTATTTCAAGAAGGTCTCCTATGTTGGGCCCTGCAGTTGAGAGTGGGCCCCACAGAAATACCAAAATCAAAGGCATTGTTCATTCCTTTTATCCTCATTAGTTAGTATTTTAAAAGTTCAGCCACAAATAAAACATAGAAATTATAGGAGCAGGCACAGGCCGAGCTAACTGCTCTTCCAGGACTGCTTGCGCAGGGGAAGAATTTGAAAAAACAATAAATTCACTGTTTCTACTCCATGGCACCAGAGAAAAAATGGGATGCTTCCCTGTAAAGAGAATCAACTGAATTAGAGTAAGTGGTACTTTATCAAATCCTGGATGACTATCTTCACACACACTACTGAAACAAATAGTTGAGAAGAGTAAGGTTACGTATCCTGTCTGTGGGAGGAAAACATGGGTGTCCCAAAGATGTTCACATTCTAAGGAGTATATTTTGTGTAACGATTAAAGGAAAGACATGACTGGAGAATTCTGTGTACATGGTTACAGGATTTAGGAAGAAACGTATTTATTCAGGAAAAGAGTTTTTATTACCTCATCTTTAAGGTTTCAGGGCAAGTTTTGCCAAACCCATTTCCTATCACTTGTACCTGAGTTTCTTTTGTGGACCTGGTTTCTTCTGACTTTCCTGGAAGTAAATAAATACAAAAGTAAATAGCAAGAAAGAGGTGGAGTACAGTAAGCAGGAACGTAGGCTCGGATAACTGACTGCCATCTATACCACTTATTACTATTTTAACAACTTTGGTGTCTGCCTCACTCAGCTCACCTATAAACCTGAGATGATAGTATACAGTATTCTTACCAAATAAGCTGGTTCTGAAGATTAAATGGCATGTAGTAAATGCTTAAGAAATATTTTTACTATAATCAGCCATGGCTACATTATGTTCATAGACTATGAATACCCTAAAATTGGGAAATATGTGTTTATAAGAGAAAACATAATATCAAAATATATGAGCCAGTGTCATAATTATGTAACCAGGATTCCACGAATTCATATGAACCCTTCCCAGACCAAAGGGACTTCATGAATTTACTCGATCACATCACAAGTCCATCCACTCTGTTAATGTTCATCTCTCCTGGGACACAACCCTCTTGTGTTACAGTCAAGCTAATTCAAGATGAAGTTGAGGAAGATTCTGCTTTCTGTCCAATTCAAAGAATCTCCCACTTTTCAATAAGGAGAAAGTCATGTGAGTATGAAGGAGCTGACATATGAAATTCAAATCTGATTACCGTGTAACAAAAAACTATGGTGGATGTGACGCACAAATGTGATATGGTCTAATTTTCATCTGTAAAAGGTCACCCTGGCTATTGTCGGGAGAGCTGATATGCGATGTA